ACCACCACCACCGTCCACAATATCAGCAACGTAGCTTCGATTTCAGTCTGTCCTCATTGCGGTTTAACCTTTACATCAGGTTACGGCCTCCTTGGATAAGCAATGGTGTCATCTGCGGGACACGGTCCAGTCGACGGCGCTGGCCGTCCTCGCTCATGCACGTCGCCAACACCAGGACTGGTTCGACGACAACGATGCCGTCATCAGCTATCTGCTCGCCGAGGAGAACCGCCTACACAAAGCCTACATAGACCACCCCACTGACGACAACAGAGCTGCTGTCTACCGCAGTCGCCGCCTCCTATAACAGCGACTGCGCGAGATACAGGATGTCTGGACTGCTCACAAAGCGGAGGAGATCCAAGGGTACGCGGACTGCAACGAATGGAAGAACTTCTTCTCCACGATCAAAGCTGTCTACAGTTCGCCGACCAAAGGCACTGCTCCTCTCCTCAGCGCCGACGGCAGTACCCTCCTGACTGAGAAGACCCAAATCCTACAGCGATGGGCCGAGCATTTCCGAGGCGTCCTCAACCGCCCCTCCGCCATCTCCGACGCCGCCATCGATCGTTTGCCGCACGTGGAGACCAGCGCAGACCTCGACCTCCCGCCATCTCTCCAAGAAATCATCAGGACCGTGCAGCGGCTCTGCAGCGGGAAAGCACCCGGATCGGACGCAATCCCTGCTGAGGTCTACAAGCACGGTGGTTCCCAACTAATGGATCACCGTACTGCGCTCTTCCAGGAGATGTGGTGTCAAGGTGAAGTCCCGCAAGATTTCAAGGACTCAACAATCGTGCATCTCCACAAGCGAAAAGGAAACCGTCAACTCTGCGACAATCACCGTGGCATCTCCTTGTTGAACATCGCCGGGAAGATCTGCGCTCGCATCCTCCTCAATCGCCTCAATAATCATCCGGAACAGGGCCTTCTGCCGGAAAGCCAGTGCGGTTTCCGTCGACATCGTGGGACCACGGACATCATCTTTGCTGCCCATAAACTTCAGGAGAAGTGCCAGGAGATGCGGACCTACCTGTCCTCTACCTTTGTGGACCTGGTGAAAGCCTTCGACACAGTGGATAATGAAGGACTGTGAAAGCTCATTCAGAAATTCGACTGTCCCGAGCGATTCATTCAGATGGTGCGTCAGCTCCACGATGGCGCGAGTCACGGACAACGGAACTGTCTCAGAGGCATTCGCAGTGACCAACGGAGTGAAGCAGGGATGAGTCCTGGCGTCCACCCTCTTCAGTCTTGTGTTCTATGCCATGCTGATGGACGCCTACCGTGATGAACGCCCCGGGATGCGCATCGCCTACAGGACGGATGGCCACCTTCTCATTCAACGGCGGATGCACTTCCAAACGTGCGCATCCACAATTTCCGTTCACGAATTTCCCTTCGCCGATGACTGCGCCCTAAACACCACCTCGGAAGAGGATATGCAAGGAAGCATGGACCTCTTCTCCGCCGCCTGCGAGAACTTCGGTCTGGTCACCAACACGGAAAAGACGGTGGTCATGCATCAGTCGCCACCCAACACAGCCCCTCCCCCAATGCGCCGCAAATCAACGTGAAGGGAATCAAACTGCAAGAGGTGGAGAACTTCTCGTACCTGGCAGTACCTTATTCCGCAGCACCAAAATCGATGATGAAGTTGCCCGCAGGATCTCGAAGACCAGTCATGCCTTCGGCCGCCTTCAAAGTACAGTTTGGAATCGTCATGGTCTTCAACTGAGCACGAAGCTAAAGATGTACAGGGCCGTCATCCTGCCGACGCTGCTGTATGGAGCGGAGACTTGGACAGTGTACACGAAGCAGGCACGCCGACTGAACCACTTCCATCTCAGTTGTCTTCGAGGCATCCTGAGACTGAGCTGGCAGGATCGAATCCCCGACACGGATGTGCTGGAGCGGACGGGAATCCTCACCATCTACGCCATACTGAGGCAAATCCAGCTGCGCTGGAGCGGCCACCTGGTGCGCATGGACGACGAGCGACTACCCAAACGACTCTTCTACGGAGACGTCGCGACGGGTTCTCGCCGCCAAGGAGGCCAAATTCGCCGATACAAGGATACTCTGAAGTCCTCCCTGAAGCGTCTGCAAATTAACCAACTGGGAAGACCTCGTCCGCGAGCGACCGATCTGGAGGGGGACAGTGAAGTCAGGCGCTGCGTCTTTGAAGCCAACCGCATCGCCGCCTCCAAAGTCAAACGCAAAACACGCAAATCACCACTATGCTCACCCGCAACGCCGACGCACAACCGCTTCCAACGTGTCCTCGGTGTCAACTGACATTCCGGACACGAGCTGGACTTACTGGACACCTTCGGATCAATTGCATCTCTCGGACCGCACCAACCGTCGTCTCTCGTCCGCCTCTTCCTCGTCCTCTCCGCCGCCAACTAACTCTGACTGCTCTTCCGAACCACCACTTCTATCCTCCTCCTCCTCCTCCTCCTCCTCCTCCTCCTCCTTCTTCTTCTTCTTCTTCTTCTTCTTCTTCTCCCGTACCTGAAATTTGTGTCCTATACCGTCCCCGGTCTTCTTGACTTTGTCTTGACGCCGGGTCCAGGTGGATGAGGAAAAGAGGATGCGTTAGATCCGACGCCAGTCGTCTGTTACTATAAGCCAGTTCTCGGCCGGGCGACTGTGCCTGCAACCTCCCTGTTGTGAAGATTATGGTGGATATCGTCGGTTGGTAGTTCAACCGTCATTGCCGAAGATGTCCACCGTGTGCTCTACAGCAGGTGGATCAGGGACGGTGACGTTTATAGTTAATCTAGACATCCACAGCATCTGCCGCACCCTGTCCTTCTCCCCCACCTGGAACATCGTCGGTAACGATGGTCGAACTGGCATGCGTGGGCCTTAGTAATAGTGTTTTAAACCTTCACTGTGTGAGTGTGGTAAATCTCCGCACGTCATGAATAATGTCCCTTACAAGGCATGCAAGGATAAATTCTGTCCATTTCTGCGATGGCCTCCTAGATTTAAGGACATGCGTTTCCCAACCCGGGATTATTCCATTAAACAACCGTCGGTGGGTCAGACATTCCGAATTACCTTGCTTCTATACCGGCAGTCGCGAAATTAGAGACAAAGTGTTCAGTCCGTGTAACAAGACATATTAAGGTTCCCTGTTTAATGCAGGCGGAGCCTGTAGACCATATTGTAGTTTTCATTCCCGAATAATCGGCTTTCCTCACACAGTGCTATCTTAAGGGTCTCCATTCCCAAAATGTTTAACACATTTTAAACCATCATTATTCCTGGAGGACAAAAGTTAATATCAAAAGTGTCCTCTGTGTGTATTTTCTCATTTTCAGCATTCATTCTGTATTAGTGGTGGCGGCTTGCGAATTCATGTCAAAGCTCTAATTGACAGACTCGTCATCGTACTTGACGACGTACACCGCGTGCCCTACGGTGTCAGCACAGCATCGATGACTAGCAAGTGAATCATGTTATGTTGAGGCAACTTTGCATAGCATTTGCTACACCACCTCTTCCCTCACCCACCTTGCCGTGGTCGCAGGGCAAAGCTGGGACGACCGGATTTGGGTGCAGGCGTGGTGGCTGACAAAGTTAAACCGCCGCACGCTTGATCGTTTTTCCCCATTAAATACTTCTGGCAGCTCGGATTTCACATACGTGAGAGTGTTATAGAGGCTACGTTAAGAAGAGGCCATTCAGCCTGACTTTCAGTCTTGCACTCAGGGCTCTAAAGGCATATACACGATACAGCGTAACGACTAACTAGCCTGCTCCAAATGCATACCTCAGTCAAATTCACACGTCAAGTATTAACTTCGATAACACTCCATATCACAGCCCGCTCACGGTGTTTCATGCTTCTAAATTATCATGTCCATATTGTGCATTTTCCAACTCCCACTTATTCACTTACAGATTATTCAATAAGAGTTCAGTTTCACGATCCTAAGTCTTATCCAAACTTAGACATCTGTAGCGGCACAGCAGTGAGAATGTGTATAGTCTGTGAGCTACAATTACCAAGTCAAATCCCAGATTGAAAGGAGACGACGGAAGGCACCAGAATGAGGAGCTTAATGTGCACAGAACCCGAATTTGTTCTCTCAGGCGGCAGTGGCCACTGGCGAAGCCAGGACTGGTGTTGACTGTGTCCAGTCAGGCCTGAGAGTCACTGAGATAGTGGTGGCAGCCGCTTTTGCAGGCTCGTGGGCCAAGCTCAAGTGGTGTCCAGTCGGTGTGTGTTGCATCTGCCGAGGGATGGTGTCCCAGTGGCTTGTTTTGCTGGTTGCAGGGGGTGGCGCGCAAGTGGCGCATGGGTAGCCGCGACGCCGTGTGGACGCAATTGTGTCCGAGCTGAAGTCGGCCGAGGGGCTTCAGGTCAGCTCGTCTGGGACGGCTCGCTACAAGGGGTGAATGACCTTGAGGCAGCGAGGTCTTGAACGATGACGCCAGGCCGGTTATGATGGTTGCCCGCTACACATCCGTGTGTCTGGTAGAGCGACGCTCACTGATCGCGCCACGGAACTCACTCCTTTCGTTGTGCCTCGGGGCTCTTTCTCAAGCCCCACCAACACCTGCACAGCGGCGAGTAACATAGGCAGAATGGCATTACCGACTAGGACAAGGGAGACTAGAATGGCCATTTCCGACTTATTGGTCGTTGTCAGCCAGCCACGCCCAACTCCGAGGTGCGGGACACCTGGGGCTCGATCTCACGACCTGCTGGTTAGAAGTCCCGATCGCAACCGACGGGACAACAACGCCGTGGCTCAGTAGTTAGGACGTTGGACTTCTAATCAAAAGGTCCTGGGATCAGGTCCCATGTGTTCCATATCTCGGGGTTGGGTGTGGCTGGCTGGCGACGGCTAATAAGTCAGAAATGGCCATTCTAGTCTCCCTCATCTTTGTTGGCAATGCCACTCTACATCCATACATCTGCCTGACAACGACTAGTACGCTAGTAATGCAATCTCACATTCCCTTCTCAGTATCCGAGTTCATTTCCCGCCAGTCTTGGCCGATATCCAAAAAGCATGCACATAAGTTACACACCGCCACGGTCATTTTCTCTGTTCTGCTTGCAGTAGATGTGTCATCTCACGAAACGTTAGCCGAAATTCTAAAATATGTTCTCGACCAGAACATGTAAACTAACTAGACTCGTAATATTAATTGCCCTGCAGCATAATCTTCGGACATTTCAGTCACGGCAGAGTACTGACTTTTTCGACTGCCCGTAAGACCTACACTCTATTAAAAATTGCAACTTAAGCAATATGAATCCCTCCCACTGATTTTCGATGCCTTTAGTTATTCAAAAATACAGTGTAGAAAACATGCACAAAATATTCGTTATGCTTAGTTGACAGCAAATCCCATCTTCTTCAACCTTTATACATAGAGAAAGGGTTTCCTTGGGATTTAAAGACTTTCTAATACTGACATTTTAAGGCGGTGAAATGTCAATTTGTACATTATTGATTCTGATAGCTAAGCATACAATACGGTTCACACCCACTGCAAAATTTAATGAGCCTTACATAACACCTTCTTAGCAGCATATAGAATTAAGTGACTTTCTTTGCGTACAAAATATACAGCCTGTAGAGTGGAAAGCCGGAATGCAAGTGCGACAACAGGTCGGGTATAAAATCCTTCAGGAATCAAAAACGTTTTCTAAAGGCGGAAGATGCCATTTCCTTAAGTGCAAAATTTGAAGCCATGGTTTTTTGTCAGATGAGTACGAGTGATAATATGTTTATGCGCCCTTTCCATTATACACATTTGAATTTTACGAGACATCGAAAACCAATGGGGAATTTCATGCTACTTAAGTAGTCACTTTGGCAGCGGTGTAGAGAAGGACCCCACTTAACTGTTAGTAGACTGTGGATCGCGCCATACGTGATTTATGGTAAAAGGAGTTTTATGGGTGGGGCAGCACGCTAGACAGTAACCTGACAAAAAAGAAAGAAAACACAAAAATTGCCTGGATTTATGCCGAAAGTCTTATCCTACACTATTCTACGACAACAGAAATGAGAGTAGTAATTAAACAATAAACAGAAAGTAAATTTCACAAAATAACGGATTTTGAGTTAAGGTGTGAGGTCGTGGAAAGTAATCGTTGTTGGCAGTGTAATTTCTGCAACAGCCTGCAAATGTGTGCCAAGATAAAACCCCATTTGACACGATCCCCAGTCTATTGACAGCTAAATGGGACCCTTCTCTATACCGCTGCCGTCATTTTTTCGGAGTGTAGTTTTTAAAGGTAACTGGTGAGTGGCTCTTCCGGAAGCCGACATCCTGCTATGACCGAAATATTTCAGGATTATGTTACAAGATAATTAATCCTGCAGCCCTACTTAAGCAGTCTTTTCTACGCAAAAACAAATTGTACGATTATGCTTAACATTCACTGGGATAGCACATCTACTGTATATCCCTTAAACAGCCTCCGATGCTCATTCCTGTCCTTAATCGTATCACAATCACCCACGCGCAGAACTCTGATGCTTTCGCATCCTCCTCCTCCTCCTCCTCCTCCTCCTCCTTCCACTCATGCACATAAGCATTCTTTAACTTAAGCCCAGCCACTGAGATTTCCGTCTGATCCAATCCATCGCAAAATGATGCCCGTTTCACTGCGGCTGACAAACCGGAATTGCTTTCCAACTCTCCCTTCTCATTCTTCGCATCTTCTCTGCGTTGGTGTTGGTTGAAAAGCCGCTGCATACCACAGCTCTACACACACCTGTAAGGCACAACGCCACGACCATCATGCATGCTCCGTCTACCTTGTTCAACCGGCCTCCCAGACTCAATCTTGTTCCCTATCGCGGGTCAAGAGACATTGTGCTCAACGTTTATCATGCCTGACATTCATCTTCATACATCAAGTCGTTCTTTTCTTATCCCTCTTAATCAGGTGCTCATGCATTATTTGCTGCAAACCCACTCACCGAGGCGTCCACCTCGTCCAAACAGCACATTGGTACATGGTTGCAAAGCAGTTAATAAGCCAGAAATTTCATCACACTCGCCATTCCCAATCTCCGCGTTCATTCTGCGTTAGTACTAGTCGCTGTATGACCGCATACCGGAGCTCTACTCATACCTCCAAGGCATAACGCCGCGACCACCTACCCTGCTCAAAGTACATCATCCGAACAGATTCCCACGCCTATTCGTATACCCGATCGCACCCAACATCACAACGCGCACACTAGGTCTCAGGACTGATAGTCCTGTCCATAATTCACATCATCCTCTAAATCTACGCATTTTTACTTGAACCCAAACCATGGGGACTGTCGTCTCATCCAGTCCACCACATCCGTATGGTCTACGTGGCAACAGTTAATAATCCCGGAAATGCCATTCCACACACTATTCTCATTCTTCGCATTCGTTCTTCATTAGTGCTGGTGGCTGTGCGACCGCATGCCGTGACTCTACTCTCGTAGGTGGGCTAACTCATGAAATGTCAACCGAAATTCCAAAATGCGTTTCCGTTTCGAAAAGATTAATTAAGTAGGGTTGTAAAACTAGTCAGCCTGCAACATAATTACATAATATTTCAGTTACCTCAGCATGCCGGCCTTTGAATGAACTTCCTTTCCGCTGCATGCAAAACTTACGTTCTGTAAGAAATGACTACTTATGTAGCGTTATTTTTTCTCATTGATTTTCAATGCCCCTAAAAGTCCAACTATATTTCAAGGAAAACATGCATAAAATATTAACTTCCCTTTTCATTCGGTAGAAAATTATGTCTTCTTCTAACTTTATGCTCGAAGGGGGTATATAATTCAGTTTTAAAAAAGTTTCTAATTGTGGGACTTTTAAATACCGTGAAATGACCGTTCATAAATTGTCATGTCGCTGCATTTACCAATGTGGCTCGAAAAGTTAAAAATATGGATCAAATCCACTGCCAAATTTTATGAACCCTATACAGTCTCCTTTTATTACCGTAGAGAAATGTGTGGTTTTCCGCACGCGGAAAACATACGGCTTGTAGTTTGGAAACCCTGAATGCAAGTGTACCGGTAGCGCGGGTTCACAATTATTCGGGAATTGGAAAAGTTTTTGAAAACCGAATTATACACTCCCTTCGAGTATGAGATTGGAAGAAGCCGTAAAGTTCTGCCGAATGAGCAAAAGAATGAATATTTTGCGCATGTTATCCATGAAATATAATTGAACTTTTAAGGGCATCGAAAATCAATGAGAAAAAAATCATGCTACATAAGTAGTCATTTTTTACAGAGTGTAGTTTTTGCATGCAGTCGGAAGGAAGTTCATTCGAAAGCCGGCATCCTGAAATAACTGAACTATTATAGAATTATGTTCCAGGCTGACTAGTTTTACAATCCTACTTAATTAATCCTCTCGAAACGAAAACGCATTTCGGAATTTTGGTTGACATTTCATGAGTTAGCCCACCTATTGTTCCTCAACCAGCCCACACCATTCATTTACGTCCAAAAGCAGCTGGCGAATTTCAACGTTCGACTTCGAGGGGTTTCCCAAATTGAAAAGTTGCGGAGACAGACTTAGAAGGACAAACTTCACCACTGCGAGCGGGCGTAAAATCAATTCAGAAGGCAGTGTCAGCAATATTTCCAGCAGTTCGAAAGCCAGCCTTTGGTGCTGTCAGTCTTCCTGCGGTGTGCGTGCGTGCGTGTGTCTGAAATTCGTGCACATTCACCAATTGATGAAGAAAGAAATATCGATCGGCGTCACGGGGCCGAAGGCAGAGTAGAACGCTGCGGAAAGGCGTTCAGTCGCTGTTGCCACGCCATGTATACGACCACAACACCCTATCTGCGTCCTGCGAGCGATCACCCAGAACTATCATTCACAAGGCGATCCCGGCGTCTTGTGCCCGTCTAACAATAAAATTAATGCTCTCAGTCAAGCCCCTTTCCCGTATAGATTCGGTCGACGAGGCTCGCGGTGGAATCCGTGACAGCGGAGTTCGTCACGATTGGATTAAACAGCAAAGGAAGGAGACTCGTGGTTCATGAAAATGATAAAGTCCTTGCGCTAGGGAAAGCACCGGACGCGGTTCGCGGCTTAATAGACGGCTAATAACTCCCGTCCAAATGTAATGTAGCGCCATTCAGAAGGTGCTAACTCTGTCGAGAAGAAAGTTAGCAGTTTGGTCTGACCTACAAGGTGTTCTTGGAGAACCGCGCCGATTACAACATTGGAGTCTCCAACCATGACAAAGATAAAAGCAGCAAGAGCAGAGTGCACCAGGGCGGCGGCGGCGTCAGTCGAGGCGGCCATCACCTTGTCAAAGGCGCAAGACACCGGGATCGCCTTGTGGGGGGTCGTTCTGGGTGATTTCTCGCATAACTATAACCTGCCGGATCCTTCGTGGTGACAAACTGGACGTGGTCAGCCTTGGCTGAGTCAAATAAGTTGTTCGAGCGAAGCCACCACACCATTCTCACCGACATAGATGTGTCGATCTCCGTCCCCCGTTCACAGGTTCCCACAGGTCCTCCACCCTCAATTGAAACCTCACCATCCTCCATCAACGTTCCCATTCTAAGACACGCTGGAGCATTTCCAGCTATCCCTCCCCCCTCATATCACGCGTAGTGAACGGTATGCTCACTTTCCTGATAGTATTTACGCATGTTTTTAGCCATCAACAACCTAATCGGCATCGGCTCACGAAGCCTCCGGGTGTGGTCGGGGGTGGGGTGTTGTGGTCTTATACTCGGTGTGGCAACGATGACCGAGCCCCCTTCCGCAGCCTGTGACTCTGCCTTCGGCTTGCCGACACCATGACGTCGATCGATATTTTGCTCTTCGGTTTTTGGTCCTAGGTGAACATGGCTCAGTGCAAACTCACACCCCCCTGCTGTAAAACACATCATTCACGGACTTCTGTCGGTTTTATGGAACCATTACTGCCGGTGCTCTGTCAGCTGTTTGTGTCGAGACTTGGGGGCTGACTCGAAAGTCCAAAGTGGTCAAGAGCACAAAGATTCCCAAATCAGAAGTCAGGGAAGAGGGATTAGATTGGACAACCCTTACTGCTGAGGATGTGTGTACACAAGGGTCTGCAAGCAGTCGCCGCCAGCCGTCTCTTCAGGCAATTTGTTTTGTCCGGGTCAGCCGTTGAGGTTATTACCGTGCAGCGAGTGTGCTCGCCTTTCGATCTGTCCCAGTCAGCGTCCGCCAGTTAATGAGAGAAGGGGCAGCATCGATTGTCTTCGGGTACTCACGAGGCTAGTGGCAAGTCTCGCACAGCGAATCGACAGGGAGAGTGAGGCGGAGAGAAGTGCAGTATGACAGGACGACTGAGAACAAGGAAGTGCGGACTGCCACCGCGTCGCGATCGGTGGTGCATTTTCGTTGCCTTCTCCCACATCCAGAAGGGGAAGATTATATTGACTATGAGGAGGATGCTGTGGCCTACACAACTACTTTGGAAGAGGCCGTTATTGTTGCAGTCATCGAGACTATAGGGATCTAGCACTCCCTCCCATGCAGCGTGGTCTGTATCGACGTGGACATAAAAGTCACCAGGGGTAGTCCGCTTGTCCGCTTTTAATGCGGTCGTCAGGAGTGCGTACAGATCCTCGTAGAACTTTTACCGCATCTCGTCGTTCCTGGTCATTGGGGGGAAGGGGAACGTAGGTACTGACGACGGTGGCGAATTTTATTTCCTGAAGGGGCATGCACAGGTTCTTGAGACGGCTCTTGATGTCCAGCAACAGACAGCTCCGTCATCTCACAATGTCGTTTCGGATGGGAAAGGCGTTGCCAGCGTCGCGTTCATCTGACTTTTGGCGACCGCTTCAGAAGAAGGCTTGGCCGGCATCCAGCTCCCCCTGCTGACCCTGAAGGAGGTGGGTGCCGCTGGGAGCAGCGTTGTCCACCTTGTAGTGTGCCACTTCTCGAGCTACCAGCTTTGTCGTCCTTTACGGCCGCCTGCTGCTCGGATTGCCTGAGAGAGAGAGAACGAGCATTCCAGTCCGTCACACTCACTCCAGTAGTCTGTGGGGTCTGGCGGGTAGATGAGGACGTGAGTTATTGTTTGTTTGACTGTTTCGACCGTGAGTGTTGCATCGAAGAGTCTCAGTATGCTTGCTGATGGCATGAGCTCGGCATTTGTTTAGGGAACCTTTTCTAATCCCTTCCCCAGACAGAGAGAAAGCTGTGCTGCTCCTCAGTAGGGCCGCTTAGTTATCTCTGGCGGCTACCATACTGCACTATTGGTCACTAATTTTTTAAGGGGAAGGCGACCTGAGTTAGCATCAACCGCCTTCTCTCTGTAGGTCTTTCTGAAAGTAGGGAGGGGAGTATACTTACTGGGTGTAAGGACACACACAACACCGGATACTCTCACTTGGTTTAGCCCGCCGGTCGAGGTGGTTACCGGGATGTGGCCGCTAGGAAGTGCGTAGCTTCTGGGCGCCACAGATGAGTGTTGGGTGCCAGTCAAGGACCGTGCGGAGCAACCACCGCCTACAGGGGCCAAATGACAAGGTCTGCCCTACCTACACGATGCATCCCCTACCTGGGCATCCCCATATACCATACTCAGACCCACATAACACTGATAAAACATATTCGTTTTTAAGACAGCGCGTATCGATGTCCAAAAAACCTTAAAAAATGAAGCAGAGGGAAACGAGCTCTCTAGATGCGTTGAAATCACACCACTCACTAACAATATGCAAACATTTATTTGGATAAGTCAATATTCTAAAGGACAGGTTGGCTAGTTCAAGGATGCTGAGGCGAAAAGTACAGTTTATTCACTTATCCGTCCGCCGTATCAGAGAGTGCTGGTCATCAGACTTACGTAAGATGTATTGAGTGCCAAATTTTACCTGTTGTTGGATATCAGCGGATGGTGCGCACATCAAAACGGGCCTTAGACGGGGCCTACAAATGCGTTTAGTATACGTCAAATACCGACTTTACGCAAACAATCCAGTCCGACACTCTAGTTCGCCTGACTCACGCTTAACACTGGTTGATGATGGGGGAGATACTGGAAAATGAGGCTGGTCCGGCGGGATGCAAAGCATATTCGGTCGGATCTTACTTCGTAGCCGCACCCGCAGTAGACAAGCCCCAGTCGTCTGTCATACGGGACCGGTGATAATAGGTGGTTTAACACCAAACCCTAACCCTAACGCCTGACAAGTGCGGCTACGAAACAAGATCTTACCGCATGTGCATTTCTCTACAGAGAGCCAAACGCTCTTTAAACTATCACAAAGCGGGGAAAGTCGTGGTTTAGAAGTTGACCAGCTGACGGACAGCTCTGTTTCTCTCAAACTGAAAATCAGGCTGAAATGGCTCCTTAACGCTTACTTTTTGATGACTTACATTCATGCTAAATTTAAGCTAATGAACTGCGGTCCATGTGCATGTGGGTGCAAGCACACCTGTTGTACACATAGATGCGGATTCAGTCAACTCAGCCAATGCGCCAGTACATATCATCAGTCGTCTTGACTTGCCTTGTCTCTGGCACGTGATAGACGTGAGAAGAGCGTGTGAGTTAGATGTGAGCAATTCTGCCTCACTGTAAACCAATTCATGCGAAAATCGTCGTCTCGCTGTCGGGTCAGTTGCGATCGCGACTTGAAATTGACGATTCATTGCTTGTTGTAGAGGCACGGCTTGTCGTGGGGTCTTCCTTTACACTAGCGTCTCTTATTAGCCCATTTTTAACCGTGGACAGGAATATAAACAACGGAGACGGTCACTGTGTCATTTCCTCAACCGAAGACTTGATATCAGTGAAGTTAAGATTGAACAAACTGGATAGTCTTGAAGAAGGAGACACAATCGCTGGGACAAGAGCTTCATTAGCCCGACGTTTCGGATTCCCGCTCGAACCCATCATCATGATGATTGAACGTTTTCCGCGAAGTAAAGTGCATTTCATGATTAACGCCGCCTGCTGTAGGCGATTATAGAAACTAACTAGTACTTATGGCAGATTTGTATGATTCATTTGACCAAAATGTGAAAAACTCAGCGGCCTCGGTGGGATTCGAACCCAGGACAGTGAGGGGGAAGCTTGAGTGCGGCCAACCCTCTAAAGATCTGAGCTACGAGGCCCCACAATTTGTTGAAATGAATCATTCAAATCTGCTAAAAATACCAATTAATTAAGTGAGTCTAGTAGATATGTGATGGATTCTAGATCGGTTGCTTCGGGAATCCTGCTTGGAAAGTCAGCTTATTGCATTGGAATTACTGGATTCCATGCGTTCAAGAAGGCTGGGGGAGCAAATTGACCTAACTTCTATCAAACTCACGGCTCCCGTACGGGTCTCGTAGATCAGACGGTTAAAGCGTTGACTGTATTCAAGCTTCGCCCTGGTTGTCTTGAGTTCGAATCCCACTGGAGTCGTCGAGTTTGTCGCAGTTTGGTCGAATGGATGCTTGCCTCAACAGTGCTTCAGTTAAATCTGATTATTGCAAGCCTCTCGCCAAGCATATCAGGACTAAAAGTGTCTCCGGAACTGCAGAGAATATCGTGTACGCTTGAGGGATCGATGTCAGGTACTGACTGGCGGTAATGATATTTACAGAAGATCAATTAAATTAAGCTCTGAGCCTGGTGTTATCCAATGGATTGTGGGTGGTGACTAATGTTGCAATTAAGTATGAGGGTAGAGCACGAGAATAAAAAGTCATCTGTAATACAAGTAAGTGGTTTTTAGCCAAATTCCAGAAAAAGTAAGGTTAGGTTTAATGTTAGGGCTAGGGTTAGTACATGGGAATAGGTATTCTTCGTGGGATTTATCGGGAAGACCACCTGTACTGCATGGGAGTTCCTTTTTCCGTGTCCTATTGCTATGACACCAAACGGGACGAATACTAAAAGCGAGATAGCAATAACACAAAGTGGTCACTTGACATAGAAACTTGTCGTTCTTCTTGCGACCCTTCGTAGCCTAAAGAGACCCACGCCTTCGAATTTGTCGTCCGATCGAAAACGGAGTTCACCATGAGCAAGGAAGTGTTAGAAGTGAGCGCGACGAAAACTTGGATGCGAATCCATCTATGGATGTTTCCGGCTCTTTCTCACTTATCAATCCTTACGCAGACTGTGTGACGAATGTAGAACGACTTTCTGATTGCCGTTAGTCACCAAGATCGGTGCTGCGATTTAGAATGACGCGAGGTTAATCGGGTTGGATAGTTTCTACACTTAAACCATTCTACGAGTTAATTTTATCGTCTGTCTGAAGATGGAATCGACAGTCCATTACTAAGTCCAGAACAAAAAGCTTCTCTTTCTA